GAGCGAAGGAGGTGGACGGCTGAAGAAGAAGAAGAAGAAGAAGAAGAAGACGGATGAAGAGGTGAAGTAGATGTCAGCGTGGCGATAAAATAAATCCACGGCAGCGGAGTGGCGGAGGATTAACCTTGGAAAGCGATCGCATGTGGGATTAGTTTAGGACAAACAGATGATAAACCGACTGTGTGTGTGTGTGCGTGACGGATGATAAAGATCAGATCTGTCGTCGAGAGGTTTAATATGTTGAATGACTGAAACTGGAACAAAGGAGTCAACACGAAAACACCAGCATCAGAGGCAACTGGCACGGAGCATCGCGGTGGTAACCGTGGAAACCCATCACCGCGGCCAATCTGATAGTCGCCTATCGATCGGTTTGATCTGTAAAATGTCTCCAAAACCTCAAAATGTTCAGTTTGCAGTCACATAAAATAGAGAAAAACAGAAAGTTCTAGTGTTGTAGACGCAGGAATCGGCACTTTTTTTTTTTTTTTTTGGGGCGTTTTCGTCTCATAAATGAGCCTCATGCAGCTCAACAAGTTTTCCTCTGCAGCTCACATGGTCGTGAATAAATAAATGATTATGCAGCAAACACACACATCGGCTAAAACAGTCAGAGTAGCAGCTACATGGTTACATCGGCTAAAACACCTGGCTATGCAAATCTGACTTTAAGAAGAAGCTGCGGTGCTCCAGATAGCGCTAGCTGCAGGCTAACAGGCACAGCTAACCTTGTAGTGGTAGCCTTAGCCTAGCACGGTCGTCCTCCAGCTCACCGTTTACTTTGGAAGATTTTCAAAAAAACTGTGACGCAGACTCTTTTTTTTTTTAACAGTGGTTGCTACAATATATGAACATGTAATATTAATCACGAATACATATTACATTTTCGATGTTACCTTCTCAGTCAGTTCCCATCAATTTTGGTGATTTTCAAACACATAAATAGGAATAAAAGATAAATGTCATCAGGATGATCTGGGACTTAAAGTTCGTAACAATTAGCTGAAAAAATACAGATAAATTCTAACAGCACTGTACTGGTTTTTGGAGTCAAGGACAAAAATGACTGTAAGAACTGACGGTGTGAATTCAAGAAAAGGTTTTAGCATCTCATGAAGCACACTTTAGACTAACACATCGATTTCAGCAGGCAAATATATAATTGATAACTTTACACTGACGCCGCGAGACAGACCATTTTTATATTTCATCTTCATCGACCGTTTTCAAGGGCCGGTACTGATCGGTGGTGATCGAGAAAGACAGAAAACTGATATCTGGAGCTGATGTACATTAAACGCTACATTTAACAACATTTGAGAGCAAAGAACTTGTCATTCACAACTAGACTTCTTCATTATTAACGATTACTGCAACTGAATTTATCCGTCTCCAATAAAAATAAAGATGTGAGATAGACCGGCTGTAATTGATCGGTTTGTCTCCTGCAGTTCCATTGACTGTTTTCTTAATATTTCACTCTTCTTTCACTTTTATTGCTCTCTCAGGCCCAAATCCTAAAGCTTTATGTGTGTATCGTTTTCAACATGCTGCTTCAGAGTAATCTGTGGCCACCAAACTTAGCCACTAGCCGTTAGCCACTAGCCGTTAGCATAGCCTTAGCCTCAGTGGTGATGGCTGTTCAGTACTTCAGGTTCTGTCTCTGCCAGAGAGACGTGATGTCGGTCAGAGGAGGTTGTTAAAGTTAATTTGACTTTTGAAAGAAGCTACGGTGCTACAGATAGCGTTAGCTGCATGCTAACAGGTGTAGCTAACCTTCCAGTGATAGCCTTAGCCTAGCATGAGCTGCAAAACAAGTTCCAGTTGCATTGTTGTGTGAGTTATTCTGGTGTTTTCAGTGTTACAGGTAAACTGTGCATTCTTGTGTAGGATTGCAGAGTTTCTTACAACATCAGGAAGTTCTGTTAGCTCACCTTAGCCATGTGCTCGTCTGTCAACAGCAGCTTTCGGTACTGATTGGCTGTTACTTGTGACGTGTAACCAACCAGACGAAGCTGTGGGCGGGACATTGCTGAGTTCACAGAGTGACAACAGGAAGAGAGGAGACTACATCGGAGCCTTGCAAATTATTCATCAATGATTGGTTAATTTAAATAACACCGATAATGTGAAAAATGCAGACTATCAGCCCTGATAATATGACATATTTGTGTATATTTGTGTGGAAACTGACTAAAACGGTAACACAACGCAATTTTCATGGTGAAACATGTTGAGCGCACAGAAAAAAAGTTCAACTTTTTGGTCTACATTTGGAGTTGGTTTTAACAGAACCAAACAGATCAGAGGAGACAACGGACTCAAACTCGGAGCTTTCTGGTGATATTTCTCGGCGTTGATCATCCTTCAGTGTGTCACAATCTGAGTCCTCTCTGCCGCTCTGCTTTCTCCCATGATCCCCCGCTGCGTGACCTCGTTAGGGAGGTCGGCTGTAATTGGACACCGCTCGTCTTAATGGCTCCCATTAGCTCGTTAGGAAAGGTTAGCTTATGCAAAACCCGCCGCCGCCGCCTCGCTAACAAGCCGGTTCGTGCTTCATTATTAGGAGGAGAGACTCGCTCTCGCTGTTCAGACGCATTAAAACTGAACTTCAAAATCTTTACACACCGACCGACACCCGGAGAAGGAAGGAAACTTCTCCGACGTCCTGCGTCTTCATCCAACGTCTGTGTGTTTGTCGTGTCTCGGCTCGGTGTTTGTTCCGTGAACGAACTCGCTCGGACAGGTCGGCTTCAGGCCAAACAGCTGATTAGATTTCCTTCGATCTGGACTCCTGCCACCAGACGGGCTCTGAATCCTCCAGAGACTCGATCTCCCAACTTCAGGGTGAAGAAATCCAATTAGGTCCAGAGGCTCGCTGGGAAAAAGCCTCTCTTTGTTTTACATGTGTGGTTTCTGTTAATCTCATCAGCGCGTCCTGATGTTGTTACGAGGAAGTTCCCTTAAAATGTGCTTCTCGAACCAAGAGGAATGTTTAAAACACACATTCCTGATGGACTCCAGGAGGCGTTGGCATCGTTTTAGACGCATTTCTCAGAATCCAGATGTGAACAGTTTGAATATCCAAGATCTCTGCTCGTCTCAGGAATGCAGTTTACCTGCTTTAAACAAAGTTTGGACCAAATTCATCAAAAAAAATAAGTTTCATTTTCTGAAAGACTATTTAAAAAAAAAAACAACAAAAAAAAAACAGTTGTAGTTGCTTATTTGTTACTTTTGGTCTATTCAGAGGATTTGCATCAAGTGACTTCTGCATATCCTGGCATGGAGGCAGATTTTACATGTTTTATTTTGCTCCTGTCACATTTTATTTCACTGTGGGTTTATTTTTCACGGCAATATAAAGTCTTGCACCTCTATAGAAACAGAAAAACCATGACTAGAAGGAGAGAGAAGGACATGTCGAACAAAAGTTGGATTTATTTTACAGAAATTAAAAAAAAACAAACAAACAAACAAAAAAAACAAATCCAATCAACATGTACAACACTTTCCAGAGTGCCCTCAAGTACACCTTTGTTATTTTATTTCTTCCAATACCGGATAAAAACAGGAACTATACATCCTGCAAAACGTGCTGCATTTATTTTATTGATCCAGTATGTTTGATTTTCTTCTCTCTTGTCGTCTCCTGTCTGCTCTGTGGAAACACTGCCTGCAGTTCAGCTGGGTTTTTTTTTTTTTTTTTACATAATCTGGAGCAAACTGGGGCTGCAGGGTGGCGCAGTTGGTAGCACTGTTGCCTCGCAGCAAGAAGGTTGCCGGTTCGTGTCCCGGTGGGGGCACCGGAATCTTTCTGCGTGGAGTCTCCATGTTCTTCCCGTGCAGCGTGGGTTCTCTCCGGGTTCTCCGGCTTCCTCCCACACAGTCCAAAAACATGTTGAGGTTAATTGGTGATTCTAAATTGTCCGTAGGTGTGAATGTGAGTGTGCTTGGTTGTCTGTCTCTAAGTGTAGCCCTGTGATAGACTGGTGACCTGTCCAGGGTGTCCCCTGTCTTCACCCTGAGTCAGCTGGGACCCTAGTGAGGATTAAGCGGTGTATAGATAGTGGATGGATGGATGGAGCAAACTGTGTATTTTTATTGAAATTTTGAACGACGCTTGTGGAATAAAGACATTTGAAATAAATATCTCAGTTTTAAGTTTAAATTTGGTTTCGGAAAGCTATAACAAGCGATTCTTTCAGTTTTTCCCCTCTCTGGCTGATAAACGGTGTCATTTTATTGATTTTGTGAACATAACACGCTTTTCAAACATGCCGGCAGATTCTGGCCCTGAGAGTTTTAAGAATGAATGAAAGTCGGCATTCAAGTCTTGCTCAAAAATTGGATCGTTCCTGATTTGAAAAAGAACTTTTAGACTCTGTTAAGCTACAGGAAGGTGCTTGAATAGCTGCTTGTGTTTCAACAACATTTCAGAAGTTTTATTCATGTGGAAAAATAAATAAAAGTATTTTAAATAATACTCCAGTATCATAATTTCACTAGTGTGGGAAAACACAGGAACAGTAATTATGGTGATGAAATAAATCTAAACTTTTTCAATTATTTAGACAGTTTGAGCCACATAACTCTGCACCGACTGCGTTTAAACACCAAAATACCAAAACAAATTGAGACATTTATTGAATCAGGTACAGAGAGGTGTGAAATTTCTTCTTTTTTCTCCTCCAGGTGGTCAGATGTGCATAATTGTGCTTCAAAATGACACCAACCAGTTTAAATTAAGAGAAAAAGGTGAACAACTTCCACAATTCCCTTTATACATTCGATCAAAAGCAGCTTTTCAACATAAAAAAACAAACCAAAATCTACCCTTAAACATCTCTACTTTTGTTCGAAATCGATCACAGATTACTTCGTCCTCCTGAGCTGCTTCTTCCTCCTTGAAAACACACTTTACTCAGAGTTTTATTGTCCGCAAACACACATCTAATTACCATTTTAAAGCTTTCACTTTGTTGTGTGTGTTGCTGCAGGACGTCTGAGGGGGTCCACCCCCGCCTCCTGACTCCCTGCTTCCCTCATCGCTGTCAGCTGATCGGCTGGAGGCTCCACCTGAACATTCTCACGCTGTAAGTACAGGCGTGTTGTTCTTTATATAAATACAGACAGTTTTACCAGAAAATGATGCAGACAAGGAACAAAGTGATGGAAAAATAATTCACCTAAATGCACGAAATGAAGTGTTTGATGCTCAGATGTTTCCTGGACGACTCCTACTTTCCTTCTCATGCCACATTATACTTTTCTGGGCCTTTTTTTCCTGATTCTGTCACATTTTTACTCGCTGTGGATTCATTTTTCACTGTAACATGAAGTCCTGCACCTCTGTGGAAACAGAACAACCATGACTAGCAGGAGGAAAAAACTCCACAATGTTTTCTGTGCAGTATGACACAGTTCTAATGCCATAAATCTTTTAAAAATACCAAAAAAAAAGTTTTTTTTCTCTTTTCATTATTTATTCCGTAATAAAAATAAAACAGGTATCAGCATGTACAACATTTTTCCAAGTGCCCACAGCTGTTACCAATACTGTAGAAAAAGAAAAGAGATGACTCTACATACTATAAATATTTGACTATCTCCATTTTTAATTTGTTTCCACACTTGTCTCCTGTCTGCTCTGCATAAACACATCCTGCAGTTCAGTCAAAAAGTCTCTGAATTTTTGCCACATGACTGCTGGTCACAGATGAGTCACTATTGGCTTCACTATTCTGCTAAGATGTGCAGAATTTTTAGATTTGTACAGAATCTAGTTTGAGCAAACGGTTAATTTTTTAAATTTGAGATGGAGAATGAAGTGATTTTGATGAAATATCCGGATTTTAAGCGTAGATTTGGTTAATTTTCTTGATTGTACGTCACAGATGAGCAGTTCAAGGAGCGTCGGAAAACTGGAAATCTGATGATTCTTTCTGTTTCTGACTGATAAACGGTGCCATTTTGTGGACTTTCTTTAAGATAACAAGACTTTTGTGGCTCAGAGGCTCAATGATAAACTGTAACTGTAACGAGCTGCTTCACAAACAACCCATGAGGTCATTTTTAGCGTTTCCAGCTTCTGTATATGGATATTCGACCCAAACTGAACACCGTAACCTTCATCGGGGCTGAGGATTTATTCGGGGTTTGCTCAGCTTCAGCTCCTCTGACAGCAGATCTTTCTCCCAGACGACGGAGGCCGTGGAGCTGCTGTTTCTCATCGCTTGTGTTGCTGCTGCCGCCAGACAGTCGTCCTCTAACGCGTCGTCTCAAACGTCTTGTTCGAAACGCGTCGTGCTGCTGCGTGAAGACTGAGCGAGATGATGCAAATGTCCGCCGCTGCAGCGAAGGCATCGTGGCGTCTCTCAGTCTAATGGACGCCGACATTAGCCGATTCATTTTGCTGCAGCATAAGCTGCTTTCCAAACAAACATCTGCTCCATTTGTGCGATTGTGTGTCGACGCTGAGAGCTCAGTGTTATTAGATTGTTGCTCCTTTGTCGTTTGGTCTTCGTGGTGTGTTATTAGTGTTTTTGCTGCAGTCGCTGGTTTCCTACATTTCCCAGAAGGCCTCTGAGGAGAAGCTGTGAATTAGAATTCTGCGCTTGTTTTCCATGTTGGAGCTGTGACTTTAACATTAGCAGTTTGTGTTTCAGCCTGTCGGAGAGGAGATGGTGTCTGATTGTGTTTGTTGTGTCTCCGCCGCTCAGATGGACTTTAGATAAACTCCGATAGCTGGAGTCCACATCGAGTTCATCGGGAGACGCGGGTTCAAACGGCTCACTTTAATCTGATGTTGGGGAGCTGGAACAGATGGATCTGATGGCTCACAAAGGCAGATACACAGCTATGAACACACTGTAGAAATGTATATTTGCAAAAAACAATGTGGCTACAAGAGTTCCACTACAAACATGGTACAAAATGACTGTAATGTTCCATCCATTATCTATACACCGCTTAATCCTCACTAGGGTCATGGGGGGCTGGAGTCTATCCCAGCTGACTCAGGGTGAAGGCAGGTTCACCTGGACAGGTCACCAGTCTATCACAGGGCTACACTTAGAGACAGACAACCAAGCACACTCACATTCACACCTACAGACAATTTAGAATCACCAGTTAACCTCAACATGTTTTTGGACTGTGGGAGGAAGCCGGAGAACCCGGAGAGAACCCACGCTGGAGAACATGCAAACTCCACGCAGAAAGATCCCGGGTGTCCTCACCGGGACGTGAACCAGCGACCTTCTTGCTACGAGGCACCTTGAGGCCCGACTGTAATGTTAAAAATAGTAAAAAGAACGGTCAACATCACTGAAATAATATAATTTTTGCTCATTTAACTACAGTAGGACGGTGTGATTTTAAGGTCACACATTGTAAAAGAAAAATACAGATTTATTTAGAGACATGATTTCACTTTAGAGGTTTTATCTGTAACTTAACAAAAAAAGGAAAACTGTAAAAAGAAAAACAAAACTATTAAAAATGATTTCATATACATAGATTTTATTTTTTATTTTTTTAGAAAACAGAAAATATCTGTTAAAAAAAGAGAAATCAACCTAATCATTGATGTGGCCATTATGTAGAGTTTGGGCTTTTTTTAAATGGTTAACATGGGAAATAATACGTCTTATTAAATAATTTTACTGTATATTATCAGTAATTTATCAAATCTACTGTGAAAGTACAAAAATTCTATATTTTTTAACTGGATTATACAATTTTTACACAGATTAGAGTCTTCGTTTAGTAAAACAAACGTCATACAGACAAAAAAAACAACAACAATGAAAGACGTTAGAATATAATAGAAAACGTTTTCTTTTGACTAGTTCAAAAGACTTGAGCTGGAAATTAATCACTTTCTAACATTTTTTGATCACACTGTTGAAATGTGAAGTTTCACTTTTCTGCTCGCTGAATTTTTATTTATTTTTTATTTACCGCCGTTTTCTTTTTATTTCTGTTTTTCTGTCTTGTTCAGTCCAAACTGCAGCAGCTCACCTTCAACCAAAGTTGATGCTTTCATGCTTCAGCTGTGCTTTTGTGAGTTTATTCCAGCAACAGTGAAAGAGAAGGAAAGATGGGAAGTTTAAGGAGAGAAAGGAACAAATAAAAAGAATAAAGAGGGAATAAATGACAGATGAGAGGAGGAGGACGAGTGCTGCCTTCATAAAAATACATCCCTCCGTCGTCCATCTGTCGCTCTGTTCAGGCCTCAACCTGCTTTCTTCACTTTCTCTCTTTGTTGTTTTTTTTTTGTCTTTTTCATCCAAATCTGTCACTTCTTTTGCTTCTTTCTCTCCTTTTCTTCCGACCGTCTCTTCCTGCCTTTCTCCTTTTCCAGCTGTCTTTTCATTGTTCTTTTTGTTTCTTTCTCTCTGAAGCCTTCTCGCCCATGTTTCACTGAGATCTCCCACTTCTCCCATTTTCTCTCATCCGTGTCTTTTCTCCGTCATCCGCTCTCATTAACCTCCATTGATTGCTGCTCTCGCTCTGCTTTTGTTTTTTCCTCTCATTCTCATTTGAAATCTTTTATTCTCTTTCACGTCCTTCGCTCTGACCCTCGGTTTCCTGCATCGACTTCAGTCTCTGTTCCCATTGACGTCCATTCACGCGCTCGGTTTAAGAGTTTCTGCTTTGTTCGGCTGGAAGAAGCCGACGCATGAACCCAGAGTGCAGCGAAAATCCTTTATGAGAAACGAACAAGGAGAGGAAAGTGCGTGTTGTCACTTTACCGCTTTTTGTTGTCGCTTTTGTGGAAGTGTGATTCTATATTGCGCTCAGCTGAATGGAGGTAGTTTCATATTAAAGGTTATGACAGATGTTGCAACTTGAATTTTATGATTCTATGATGGTAAACTATCTCTAATTTGTGCCGTGACTCATTAACTTTAGAGTTTGTACCTGAAAATTTTTTTATCTGCACCTAAAAAGAGACGCAAACGCCCTTAAAACTAACACCAAGAGATGACAGGGACATCAAAACATGGCAAATAACTACAGAGATGCACTACAAAGAAACACAAGTTGACCACAGAGAGACAGAATCGAGTAAGAAAAAGATGCAAAATCAAAGAACACTGTGATAAAACCGCCTCTTAGACACATAAAACGACTAACAGGTGCAACGTTGCTGCAAAAAAGATGCAAAAGAACCACTAATAAAAGAAAGAAGGGATGCGAAATGAGCACAAACAAGTGCAACAGCAATGCAAGCAGAGACAAAAAAACAAGCACAAAGATTCAGACGTCAGGGCTGCACTGTAAAAAACAAAATAACTGTGTAAAAAAAACCAAACTGTAAAAATCTTGCTGCAGATGTTTTAAATACAATGAAATTCTGTAATTTTTCTGCTTTACATTCTCAGACAACAAATAATCCAAAAATCCAGAATTTTGTTTGTTTTTAATATTCAAAATATAAATGCATCGTGACCTGTCGTGTGATTTTATCTGTTCTTTAAGATAATAGATGGAATTTGTAAAATCGCTTTATAAAAAATTCTTCAACATTTTTAAAATCTGTGTAATTTTTTTTCCGAATGCCGACAAATGTCTGTATTTTTTTGTTGTTATTTCTTTCTGATTTTATTATTTATTATCAGTAATTAACAAAACAAACTGCAAAGGAAAAAAATCAGGCAAATAACAGTAAATTGTATTTAAAAAATATAAATATATTTTCTGGTTTCAATAAAATAAAACTGTAATTTTATGTTCACGTCTTATACATAAAAAAAAGAAAAAAAAATTCTAAAAATACAGGTTTTTGACATCATGTTTACTTTTTTTTTTTTCACTTTTTTTCCCCCTGAAATTTATTTTAAAAAATAGAAGATAAATACATGAATAACTACAATTAGTTAAAAGTGCAATATTGAAAATTGCAGTTACAAACCTTTGTATTTTTTACAGTGTGCAGCTGGTTCTCGGTCAGTTTAAGGAGGCTGAAGGGGCAACGAGCTCTGCCGTGAAAGTTTCTGGATGTTTTTCTGTCGACCTTGTTCCTATTTTGGGATGTTCAGACGTCTAAAGCTGCACCAATGAAAACACGAACCTGTCAAACAGCGAC